TTAACGAGGAGCCATACAGTAGATGAAAATAAGTGTAGATGGTATAAGCCCCCATTAATACTATTTAGATCATTATGGGGGTGGACTGCTTCACTATGACCATGCCTGCCAGGGCCAAGCCGGGCTGAGAAAGACACAACGCCCCAGCAGACAGGCTGACATGCTCGTTAAAAACCCACCCCACACAGGAATAGAACTCACGTCTTTTGGTAAAAGCTTAAACGCTATACACAGACACTGGCGGTAATGCTGTGTACATACACTGAACAAAAAGAAAAAAGAAAAACAACAAAAAACAACAACAACAAAACAAATCCAAGGATACACATGCCCCTTGATACTATTTTCTCCATATTGACCAGTCTATTCTTGCTCCACTCAATCAATCAATTACTGTTATCCCTTCGTCATGGGCTGCAAGGGTTGAGGGTGAAACCACAGACGCTTTCTGGCATGCCATCCTCAACTAAGCCAACTCGCCGTCCTCGTCGAGCAGCCGGGGGACCCCTGTTCTGTGGAAAAGGGGCGGGGCATAGGAGCAGAGGTTGCAGACGGAGCTCCGGCCAGGAGGTACCATAGCTCTGCGAGGTGCGATGTGAGCAACGGTCCTGTGGCTCGTAGAAGAGTCCGTACACATCAACCTTTTATAGTAGGTCTGACGTCACAGCAGGCCAACCTGTTCATTCAGGAACTCACTGTCGACATCTTCTTCCCTCCCTCTCGTGGGAGCTCTACAGACGGGCATGGTACCCATAGACTGCCGGATTACTCATCGTGAGATGTCTCCGCGGACCCAGAAGGCCTTGTAGCTGTAAGGAATAGGCTGCCTGGAAACAGATGACGTCCCTATATGATATATCCTTGCAAATGCTCGCTGATCCATGGCGGGACAATCCTCTGTCTGAGTAGACTCGGCTATCCCTTGGATTATTCTGCTACATGAACGGAAATGTTAACAGGAGACAACAGGTGGCGTGGATTGGGCAAACTTAAGCTACGCTTGGAGATGTACACGACTCGCTGTGGAAGGAACGCGTTACCCATTGCTCAATGGGGCCCCTTACTGGACTTTTCAGACGATCACTGGTCATTGGTTGCCCTTTGTGGCTCCCATCTCTCAGAGCTAGAGTGTGCCTACACCCCCTATAATTGTCTACTATCTAAGAAATCCCCATGAAGGTTGATGGAAAACAGAACAGTGAACATTGAACCTTGGTTCTCTTGTGGCAAGATGTTTGGACACAAAGCCAGTGTCAGGACAAGACAACCACCTACCTGAGATCCTGCAGGGATGCATACAAGCCTTTAAAACCCCCAAACCAATGAAATGCCTTTACGACAAATGTTGAGGGAGGCATTGCACTGGCCAGAGCGACATGCTCGCAGCCAAAGGGATTTTAAAACAACAACAATAACAACATCATTTCGTCATCAGTCTATCCACCCAATCATTAATGAACCTCCTCCCTCCCACAATCCTCATCCACCCCTCTCTTCCACAATCGGTTTATCAGCAAACCAAACTCTGCCATCCTTCTGTCTCAGAGCCCGTATGTCTGCCCATCCACTTACCCGCCCACCTTCACGTAACCTACTAACTGGTCTACCCGTCTGTCCACTAGTCCATAATTTAAAATCTTACTTTCAGAACTAACGTAATACTTCCCTTCGATCTACGATCTCAAATAAGTTCGTCATCATTTTAAGAAGAACATGTTAGAACGCTAGAAATGAGCACATTAGTTGAAAACGTAAGACCCCCCCCCCACACACACAAACCAACATGCAGACCAAAAAAAAAACTGGAAGAGAAAGTAAAAGAGATTGTAAGATTTATGGGAAGTCAGTTTACGAGGATCACATTCCTGCACCAGATAATGAACCGGAAAATCGTGTTACAAGGCTCAGATAGAAACGGCAGCGAAGTAGCCTGCTACAAAAGCAAGAAATCGATGTGGTAGGAGAATCAGGAAAGAAGATATCACTCAGCGTTTTATGTGGGCGAAACCTAAAATAAGTTTAATAACTGTGCGTCCGAGGTTTTATCAACGACAATTACAGCAGCAACAAAAACATGGCTTTGGTTGCATACACACGAATAGAAAAATACAAACAAAGGCACAAATAAAGATATATATGTTAAAAGGAATATATAATATACTATATAAGGTTATTTTTTAATATTATATTACAATATTATATTACATGATAGGTGTTTGATATGAAAGAAGGAGTAAACCATACAAGAGCACATGCCAGTCATCATTGAAAATAAAATGGGAGGAGGGGGGCGATGACAAGAGAAAAGGAATAAACAACTGATAGAGTGAATGGGAGAAGTGGGTGTAATCACATGCGGTTCTTTAGCTTGTTTGTCCGTTTGTTTTTGTTAAAGATCAAGTTCCAACTTGACACACAATAGACACATTCAAAGGCTAGTGAAATAAGCTTCGAATTAATTAAAGTTTGTCGAGATCGATGCTAGGGCCACTGCCAGTGGGCGTCTTGTTTATTTTGAATGAAAAAGAACAAACCGACGCCATCTAGTGCAGACAAAAATATAAAAAGGAAAATAGAGTAAAAGGGAGAGTTGGGCCTACCAGTAGCAACGAGTATTAATTTTGTTTATAACAAATTCTGACCACAGCGTGAGGGTTTACAACGGTGCTGATGACGAAGTCTTCGGTAACAAAACGATACGTGCACGCACACTCACTTACAAACACACACACATACATACACACATACACACACATGCACACACATACACACACACA